TTCTGCTTTGTATCTGTGGCTTTCACAGTCTTATATCTTTGTAGTTCATTCTCTGAGTAAGTAGATTGGACATAGTCCCTGCCTTCCTAAAACCCATAATGGATTGTGGCAGAAAAGAGAAATAAAGGATTAATCACAACTCTCATCATAAATTAATTAATTGCATTGTGATAAATGCTCAAGATTAAAGTGCAGAGAACTATGGATTGCATAGTTAGGAGGGGCATTTTCTTTGGGAGCAAGATTGAAGTACAGACAACTAGGAGTTGTATGATAGGGAAGGGCATTTTCTAGCCAGGTGACCTAAGGAAGGTTTCCCTGAGGAAGTGACTTAATCTGAGCCCTGTAGCGTGAATAGGCATTGCTAAATGAAGGGGTTTGGAGGCAGAGCCCAGAGCAGGTTCCTTTAGGCTGGTGGAGCTGGCCAGTTAGGAAGCAAAAGAACACCAGTGTTATTATCGTGCAGGTAGTGCTTGAGCAGCAGTGAGAGACCCTCTGATATATGGGTACACAATGCATCCTTGCCTTGATGAATTGTTAGGGATTGAATTATGTCCCCCAAATATGTATTGTAAATCTTAACCTCTATACCTGTGGTTATAATCCCGTTTGGGAATAGATTGTCTTTGTTATGTTAATGAGGCAGGATTAGTGTAGGGTGTATCTTGACTCAATCTCCTTTTGAGATATGTTGTTGTTGTTAGGTGCCATTGAGTCCCTTCTGACTCATAGCGCCACTGTGTACAATAGAACTAAATACTGCCTGGTCCTGCCCCATCCTCACAATTGTTGCTATGTCTGAGCCCATTATTGCAGCCACTGTGTCAATCTACCTCATTGAGAGTCTCACTCTTTTTCTCTGACCCTCTAATTTACCAAGCATGATGTCCTTCTCCAGGGACTGGTCTCTCCTGGTAACATGTCCAATGTATGTGAGACAAAGTCTCGCCATCCTCACTTCTAAGGAGCATTCTGGCTTTATTTCTTCCAAGACAGATTTGTTCGTTCTTCTGGAAGTCCATGGTATATTCACTATTCTTTGCCTACACCATAATTCAAAGGCATCAATTCTCCTTCAGTCTTCCTTATTCATAGTACAGTTTTTGCATGCATGTGAGGCAACTCAAAATTCCATGGCTTGAATCAGGCTCACCTTAGCCCACAAAGTGACATCTTTGCTTTTTGACACTTTAAAGAGGTCTTTGGCAGCAGATTTGCCCAATGCAGTGCATCATTTGATTTCTTGACTGCTGCTTCCATGGGTGTTAATTGTGGATCCAAGTAAAATGAAATCCTTGACAACTTCAGTCTTTTTTTCTGTTTATCATGATATTGATTATTGGTCCAGGTGTGAGGATTTTTGTTTTCTTTATGTTGAGTTGTAATCCATACTGAAGGCTTTAGTCTTTGATCTTCATCAGTAAGTATGTCAAGTCCTCTTCACTTTCAGCAAGCAAAGTTGTGTCATTTCCATATCACAGGTTGATAATGACTCTTCCTCCAATCCTGATGTTGAACTCTTCTTCATAGAGTCCAGCTTCTCGGATTATTTGCTCAGCATACAAATTGAATAAGTATGGTGAAAGGATAAAACTCTATTACACACCTTCCCTGATTTTAAACCATGCACTATTCTCTTGTTCTGTTTGAACGACTTCCTCTTGGTCTATGTACAGGTTCTATGGACAGTTGGTCTATGTATGGGTTATTTGAGATATAAAAGAGATTAAACAAGTGAGCAGAGTAGAGATGGGAGAAGAGAGATGCCAAGCCCCATGAAGATCACTCAGGATCAGAAGTTCAAAGAGACAAGGACCTTCCTCCAGAGCCACCAGAGAGAGTAAGCCTTCCCCTATAGCCAGCATCTTGAATTCAGACTTGTAGCCTCCTAGACTTTCAGGAAATAAACTTATGTTTGTTAAAGCCATCCACTTGTGGTATTTCTGTTATAGCAGCATTAGATAACTGTCATGGATTGAATTGTGTCCTCAAAAATATCCGTCAACTTGGCTGGGTCGTGTTTCCCAGTATTGTTTGATTGTGTAATCTGATGTGATTTCCTTATGTGTTGTAAATTCAGTCACTATGATCTAATAAGATAGATTAGTGGCAGTTATACTCATGAGGTCTACAAAATTGGATAGTGTCTTAATCCAATCTCTTTTGAGATATAAAAGAGAGAAGCAAGCAGAGACATGTGGGGACCTCATACCATCAAGAAAGCAGTACTGGGAACAGAGTGCGTCCTTTGGACCTGAGGTTCCTGCACTGAGATGCTGCCAGAACAAGGGAAGACTGATGCATCACAAGGACCTTCCTCCAGAGCCAACGGAGAGAGAAAGCCTTCTGCTGGAGCTGATGACCTGAATTTGGACTTGCAGCCGACTCGACTGTGAGAAAATAAATTTCTCTTTGTTGAAGCCATCCACTTGTGGCATTTCTGTTATAGCAGCACTAGATGACTAAGACAATAACTAAGACAGAATTTAGCACTGGAAGAGTAGGGTCCAGCTCTAACAGATACCCAAAATGTGCAAGTGGTTTTGGAATTGGGTAATGAGTAGAGGCTGGAAGAGTTTTAAGGTGCCTAATAGTAAAAGCTTAGATTGCCGTGAAGAGACTATTGGTAGAATTATGGAGATCAAAGACAATTCTGGTGAGGGCTCAAAAGGAAGTGAGCAGAGCTATAGAGAAAGTCTCTATCATCTTAGAGAATACTTATGCTGCCAGCAACAGAATGTTGCTACAAATGTGGATGTGCTTCTGCTGAGACTTTAAAAGAAAATGATGAACGTATGATTGGACAGTGGAGGAAAGGCAATGCTTTTTATGCAGTGGCAAAGAACTTGTGTGAATTATGTTCAAATGTTTAGTGGAAGGTAGAACTTGTAAGTGATGAACTTGGTTATGTGGCTGATGAGATTTCTAAGCAAGATCTTAAAGGGACTGTATGATTTCTCTTTGTGGCTTATAGTTAAATTCAAGAGGAAAGAAATGGACTTAAAAATGGACTGTGCAAAATGAAAACAGAACTTAAAAATTTAGAAAATTTTGCTGTACAAACTAAGGACACCTGTCCTAGAATGTTCACCACAGACGAGGCTACATGATCTTTTGTTAAGCCTGTGACTGATGGATCTAACCAACTACCACAGCATAAAACTGATCAGCTTAGACTGAAGGGGACAGAGAAAGAACGAAACAAAGAACATTGTCTGCCTCTTGGAATCCTACAGGCAGGAAACAAGCCAAAGAAGCTACATCTGTTGTCCTCCAAGAAAAGAACCATCCTAGAACAGCTTGGAGATCAACAGAACTGTTGGAAGGAGCATAGGAAGCAGAGCTGCTTCGGTCTCAAAGGGTAGGGCCGTGGCCTCTGGGGTCTCAAAGGGTAGAGCCATGGCCTCCTAGGTTTCAAAGGATCAGATCTTCACCAATTTGGTTCCAAGTGTTGACCAAGAGGATGGGGCTACTGCCCAGAGCTGAGGGAGTGGGGCTAACATGTTTAAGGGGCAGAAGAATGGGGCCTGCTAGGGTCGGGGGTTGGGGTCTCCACTCACATGGACTAGGAAATGGGACCACCCAAAGCTGAGGGAGTGGAGTTGCCATTCCAGTGGGCCTGGAAGGTGGAGCTGAAGCCCAGGGCCAATGGGCATTCACCCAGAATCCAGAGGGCATGTCAACACCCAGAATCTGAAGGGCGGGGCCATTGCCAGATGGTCTTGGAGAACGGAGGATTATTTTCAAGCCTGAAAAATTAATGTAGATTGTTCTGCTGGGTTTTGGACTTGGCTTGGTACCTGTTATCCCTTCTTTCCCTCCAGCTTCTCCCATTTGTAATGGAAATGTCTACGTTGTTCCGTTCCACTATTGTACTTTGGAAACAGGTAACTTGTATTTTAGATTTCACAGGTTTACAGATGAAAAGAAGTTTTGCAGTAGGATAGAATATGCTTAAAGTTTCATCTATATTTGATTTAGATGATTCAGTAGATGAGATTTTGTTCTTGGAGTTGATTCAAGACTTTTATGATAATGTGATGGGGTGAACGTGTTTTGTATATTGCAAGGACATGAATTTTGAGGGGCCAAAGGGTGGAATGTTACGGATTGAATTATGTCCTCCAAAAATATGTATTGTAAATCCTAACCTCTATGCCGATGGTTATAATACAATTCAGGAATGAGCTGTCTTTGTTATGTTAACAAGGCATGATTAGTATAGGGTGTATCTTGAGTCAGTGTCTTTTGAGATATAAAAGAGATTAAACAAGGTAGCAAAGTAGAGTTGGGGAAAGAGAGATGCCAAGCCACAAGAAGATCAGCCAGGAGCAGAAACACAAAGAGACAAGGTCCTTTCCCCAGAGCCGACAGAGAGAGGAATTCTTTGAGCCAGCACCCTGAATTCACACTTCTAGCCTCCTGAACTGAGAAAATAAATTTATGTTTGTTGAAGTCACCCATTTGTGGTATTTCTGTTATAGCAGCACTAGAAAACTGAAGACATTGTATGTACCATTTGCCTACAAGAACCATTGTTGTTGGTTTGTAATCTACTTGGTTATTTTTTATATTCATCATGTATTATCATTTAAATACATAAAGTAAAATGTGTTCCATCATTAAAGAACCTGGGGAAATTTTCCCTAAATTCTTGACACCAAAATAATCCTTACTCAGAGAAAAAAAAGAGGGACCATAGGGACCATATGTCTAACCCCAAATAATAGTTTTCTCTATACTCCTTTAAGACATATTTTAAAATAATCTGCAGCACTTTGGAAGATTTTTATTTATTATTGCCTATCTTAACTATTATGAAATAGAATATAAAGAGATGTATATAATTTAAATAATGTCGAGGTATATAGTAGAAGTCTGGTTTCAATATTATTATGCTTTCTATATTATCTTCCACTGTTTCCTAAAAAAAATATACACACTTGTGATTTGACCCTCAGCTTTGCTAATCACCTTGCTTTTGTCTTTTGCAACTCTAGTCAAATGGGATTGCAGCCATCATTGCTATTTTGGTGTTACTGCTACTCTTGGGCATCGGTTTGATGTGGTGGTTTTGGCCCCTTTGCTGCAAAGTGGTGAGTAAGAAGGATTTACAGTTTTACAGCTCTACTCTTTTTTTCTTTTTAAGTAATATGTAAAATCTGAAATATGAATGAATGTCATATTGTTCAACAACACTAAAATTGAAATTATCAAATTGCATTTTAATTGTTTTTATTGCTATAATAAATTCTAGAAAACATGTATGCCAAAGGATGTTTATTAAAAAACTGAATCTACAAAGAAGTTCAAAATCAGGTTTGGGGGAAGAAGAGGAGAAGAAGGCAGGAGAGGTAGTAGGGATAAAGGGTCTTTCCACCCAAGTACAAGAGAAATTCAAGTAAAACAAATGATATTTTTCTACTAGATTCATTGGGAGAAGCTGATAATCTGGTTTTTTTTTTCTTTTCCAGTGTCTGTTGAGTCATTCATTTCCTCTTTGAAAGAGCTACTATTTCAGGACCTCTATTTGCCTTTCTAAAAAACATTTTAAAAATATGTCATGTTCAAATGTCAGGGTATCTGTTAAACAGTCACTTTCAAGTAATGACAGGTGGTTGCAGTTTGTTTCATTTTTAGTGTTAGCGCAAAATCTTTGAAAGAATATGGGTGTGTGCTAGTTTTCTATTGCTACGGTAACAACTTGCCACATACTTGGTGGTTTGAAACAATATAAATGGATTATCTTACAGTTCTGTAATCAAAGGTCCAACATGAGTCTCACTTGGCTAAACTGAACTAAAAGATATCAGCAGGGCTGCATTCTTTTCTGAAGGCTGTAGGGAAGAAATTTTTTCCTTGCCTTTTCCAGCTTCTAGAGTCTACCCTGGAGCCCTGGTGGCACAGTGATTAACAGATTGGCTGCTAACCAAAAGGTTGACAGTTCGAATCCACCAGCTGCTCCTTGGAAACCCTATGGGGCCGTTCTAATTTGTCTTACAGGGTCGCTATGAGTCGTAATCTACTCAACGGCAGTGGGTTTGGTTTGGTTTTTAGAGTCTATCCCATGTCTTGTTCCATGGCCCAATTCCTCTGTCCTCAAAGCCAGCAATGTTGCATCTCTCTGACTATTCTTCTGTAGTCACATCTTCCTTTGACACTCAACCCAGCTAAGAAAGGTGCTCCAATTTTAAGGAACCATATAATTATATTGGACGTACCCAGATAATCCAGGATAATCTCTCCATCTCAAGGTCCTTAATCGCAGCTGCAAAATTCATTTTGCCATGTAAGGTAACATATTCATACGTCCTGGGAATTGAAGTGTGAACATCTTTGAGGAGCCGTTATTCTGCCTACCACAGAATGGAATGTTGAGTGATACATTTTAGCATGTTTCAGACAGTCCAATTTAGATTGTTCAGGTTTCAGAGATACTTCATAGAAAATATTGTCCTGCAGGAACATTTTTTCAAAGCATGTCTATTACTTAATTTTTTAATATTCCTTTTTTTTAAATCAGCATATTATAAAGAACTTTATATTCTGTAGATCACTGTAGTGTTTTACATAATATGACTTATACTGCTCTTTTTTTTTAATATCACCTCTGCTGACTGACTTCAACTTCCTTGTGATTTCAGGCAGTGCTTTGTATTACTTCTGGATTTATTATTAATTGTACTGCAGTCTGCTTTCATGAGGCAACTTTACAATCCTTTATCTCTGAGCAGTTGTTCCATGGAGGAAGCACAGAATTGACTCAGACAAAAGTAGAGACAAGAAGCATCCTGTCTCTTTGCTGAACTAATCAGTTTCTTGCCATAGCAATTTATGCTTAGTTTCCTGTTGTAATCTCCTTGATTATCCTAGATATGGCTGTTTTAGGGTGGGTAGCATTCTTAAGTCTCAAATTAAAAAGCAGAAAGGTGTCCTAATGTGATTTGTTCTCCTTGATTTTTTAATTTAAATTTCCCAGTGGTGGATTTCCTCCCTTCATTGCTTTGCAATTTCATTTATTATTGACCACAGGGCTCAAAAGTGTCATAGCAGGTTATTTTTTAAAAAGACACAAGCAAAAACTCAAATGGGTTTCTTTGGGAAGTAATCATTTTTTTGTTGCTACATGTGCTCAAATACAGGCCTAGGCCATTATTCTGGGTAATATAGAGCAGATGCAATCATCAGGTGGTGATACTAGATCCTTTCCAACGCTGGAACTCTACAGATCATGATTCAGATTCATGAAGTAATTATGTTTATGTAGAGCATAGAGAGGGCCCTTTAATGGTGTGATTTAAGGATGTCAGGAAGACTTCCTATCTTCAGAAACATCTGTAAATGCTTACTAATTTCTGGAACATATTTAATAATGGTGAACACCATTTATTTACTTACAACTTGAAATATAGATTAAAAGGAGCTAGCCCTGGGCATAGCAAATTTCTGTAACATAGGTGTAAACGCAGGAAGAAGGTAGAGTCAAAATTCTGAATTCTGCCCTTAGCAAGTATTTACTGAGCATCAAATATGTGCCAGGGCAATACAAAAATAACTGTGATTTGATATGGACCTTCCCTTAAGAAATTAACAGTTTAATATAGAAACTCAGTCATGTGGACAAAGAAGCGTGAATGTAGGGTCATAAGTGCCCCAGTCGAAACATGTGTAAAGATAACATAAAGGAGGGGAGATTTGCCAGAGAGCAAAGAGATTGTTTGAGAAAAACCTGACTGAGCAGATGACCATAAGCTGAGTTTTGAATGATAAAATTTTGGCAGTTGATGAGAGACATTTTACATGAAGTGTGTGCAGAATTATGACTTATTCTGACATTCTTTGGAGGGTGCTAAGCTGCACAGTGGTTAAGACCTTGGCTGCTAATCAAAAGGTCAGCAGTTTGAATCCACCAGCCGCTCCTTGGAAACCCTATGGGGCAGTTCTACTCTGTCCTATAGAGTCGCTATGAGTTGGAACTGACTCAACGGTACATAACAACAACAACAAGCTGAGGCCTAATGTGCAAATGAAAAGTGGTGAAAAATGGTTTGAGACATAGCTCAGAATTCCATTAGGGAAAGTCTCATATGTCTTTTGGGAAGTCTGAACTCATCCCATGAATGATGAGAAATTGCTGGAGAAATTTGATCAGTATTACCATGTGAAAGAAGCTTTGCTTGCTCTGCAGTAGGATGGTCCTGGCTGGGATTAATTAAGACTATATTCAACTGAGTTCCGTCAACATTTGATAGGGAGCACCAGTGGACAGATAATGCACCTTAGACATGGATGGAGCAAAGTATTTTTAACAAAATGTAGGTAGTTGGAATCTAAGATGGAAGCTTTGTGGCTAAAGAAAAATGAAGAGATGATGTGATGAGAAGAGGTAAAGGGAGACCATAAGCTTGTGAAAAAGGGGTGATGAATATATCAGAGTTGTGTTTCAATAGACATATACTTGTGAGAAGCTAGAACTAGAATGTGGTCAGTTACATAATTCTTTGCTGTGGTTGTTGGGTGCCATTGAGTTGATTCTGATTCCTAGCCACCACATGTGACAGAATAGAACTGCCCCATAGAGTTTTCTTGGCTGTAATCTTTACAGAAGCAGACACCAGATCTTTTTGCCACAGAGCTACTGGGTGAGCTTGAACTGCCAACCTTTCAGTTAGCAGCCAAGTGCTTAACTGTTGTGCCACCAGGGCTCCTTAGATAATTCTTAGCAGTATTAAATTATCAGGGATCAATATGACTTTAACTGTTTATTGTTACCAGTATTATAACTTTTTTATGGAGAATGAAATGCATTTATTCAGCTTGGTGTTGCCCACATTTCTTTTTGTTGAGTGTGTTTTAAGTACTCTGGCAGTTATTTAAGTCTAATCTTTCAACTGAAACATGGTTTAACAGTTTAAAATATCTGTTCTCAGGCACTTTTATGATTATGTCAGCTATCCACCTCCTTGACAATCATGCTCAGAAGCTCTTAGTATGATAGGAAGCCTGGATAAAAAAGTCCTGAACAGAGACTCCATCCAGTCTCTGTCATATATTCTTTAATCATTTTACATATTATGAAATGATTGAATCATTCATTGCTCTGAGATTAAAATTTCACAAATGTCTGATCGATGATTAGTGATGGCAATATTACTTATATTTTAGTTTTACTTCTATTCTTTGTTGTTGTTGTTGTTGTTGTTCTTTTCTGCCCCAGATAACCTGAAGGGTCTGTGAGCAGTTTATATCAGGTTTCCGATAGTGGCAATTCTTCCTGAGGCAGAGGAAAAAGGATAGGTTGGGGTGAGACAGCTCCAGAGTAAGCTGCAGTTTGGAAATAACCTCTGTGCTAGACTGAATAATGGCTGCCAAAGGTACTTAGGACCTAATCCCTGGAACCTGTGAATATTACTTTATAAGCAAAATCGAATTTTCATGTGTGATTAAGGTAAGGATCTTGAGATGCGGAGATTATCCTGGATTATCTGAGTGAGTCCTAAGTGGAATCACAAATGTCCTAATAAGAGGGAGGCAGAGGAAGATTAGATTACAGAAGAGGAAAAAGCAATGTGACCACAGAGGCAGAGATTGGAGTGATGTGCACACAAATTAAGGAATGTCAGCAGTCAGCAGAAGCTAGAAGAGGCAAAGAACAGTTTTACCTGGAGCCTCCTGAAGAAACCAGCCTTGCTGATATCTTGATTTTTGCCCTGTAAGACTCGGTTTAGACTTCTGGCCTCCAGAACTATAAGATAATACTCTTCTGTTGTTTTAAGCCTCTACAGTTTTGGTAATTTGTTACAGCAGCAAAATAAATCAATATACATCCTCCCAAATAATTCCTCTAGGTTGGGAATCACTGCTTAGGGCTATATCAGTATTGCAGTTTGGGGAATTCTTATGTGATATGTTTTCAAATAAACTCATTACAAAAACTACTCATGGAGTACAAGAGGCTGTAAGATGAAAGGCAATGAAATATTCTTCAAAATGTTTGCAATGGTACAAAGGCTGGCTACTAAAAGCAGAATGCATTTTTTAAAATTAGAAAAAGCAGAAACATCCTCTCTAGAATATTTTATATTAACATAGTAGC